TCCAATAAGGTTGTAATTGTACCACATTGGAGATAGTCGGGTTCAACCCGCCTAAGAAACGTGCCACCGTATGTTCTTCTGGTTCTACCACATCGCATTTAATGGATACCTGTTCAAATTCTCCAATGTATTCTTCTACGGTCGTCTGTTGTTGTTGTAACTGTGTAAACTTTAAGAACAAGTCCTGCTTATATTGATCAGGGATGTACTTACGTTGCAATTCTTTCTTCATTTTGGACCAGGAAACGATCTTACTTCTGCCTTCACGGTTTCTCAATCTTTTCAAGTTTTCCCACCAAAGAGAGGCGGATTTCTTTAATTTTATCACAACAAGCTTGACTATCTTGTCCTCAGGAACTTCTTTGAACTCAAGGATTCGATCTACCGTTTGCAGCCAGCTGATGAACTCATCCGGATCCATCCTTCCGTCGAATTCTGGTAACTCCATCTTGATTCCAAAATCGTGAGGAGACTTCCTGAGATTTCGGCCAGGTACTCTTCTTCCTCCATCCTCGTCGCTTGAGTTTTCTTGATGGAAGGGATTGACATCATCCTCTTCCGTTGGCGGTATTGGTGTCTCTCTCTGCTCGCATCTTGCCAATCGTTGTTGTAGTTGAGCAATCTCCCGTTGCAAGTCTTCGATTAAAACTTCTTGCATCGGTCTTTGGGGATTCCGGCGAGGCGGCATTATGCCGGCTCTGATACCACTTGACACCGGACCTGTAGACGAGTCGCGGCCAGAAGTGCAAGGATCACGTCGTCGACTGAAAACCAAGAACCACCACCGGCACAAGCTCCGGATACAGAAAGAAAATGAACCACCACCTGACAGGGTCAGGATACAGAGTCTTTTCACAAGAAAGATAAACTTTGATGCAATCAATCCAATCTGTCTTATTATCTCAGAACACAGTTATTTATATACAATTACCAGCCATATATTTGGCTACACTTACGAATGCTAAACAATGGCTACATTTAAGAAAGCTAAACAATACTAAGCAATCACTAAGAACTGAAGTTTGACAAATCAAAGACAGAGGGAACAGAGTTCTTCGGTGTCCCCAGTAAGCTCCGGCGTCAGAGAAGGAGATGGAGAAGGAGGTGGCATAGATAAGAGACAAATCCACCTCTATTATATGTACAAATAAAAAGGTGGAGAAGGCAAGAGATGTTAGTCCATCTCTTACTATTATATGTAGAAGTAAGACAAAGTTATTGGATTAAATGTGAAGGAAGAAGAAGAATATGGACTTGATTGGAGACTTCATAGATCCATTAGAGAAGAGACACATGCCTGTGAATTCAAGATCAATTGATTTCCTTTGCCTAATTGATGAAGAGCAATTATCTATCTTTAAGTCTTGTATGTTAATATCGATAAATAACTCCAACGAAAGGGAGCTAGGAGTGAGTAGTGGGAGCATAGTGTTGTTTCAATAGTTAAATATGCCCACTACTTAGCAAGATAATATGATAAGAAATCTATTAGTTTATTGATGGAATGAGTTTTTAAATAGTTGAATACACTTCAATTTTATTTTTTGCTATAACACGTATATTCTTTATATTACCTAATAAGAGAATGAGTATGATGCTACTTAAAGATTTATGAATTAGACATCATTATGTTGGATGAATTATTTGATCATTACTACACATCAATAATTTTTGTGCTAAAGAGGAATGATAGATTCAAGTGGCAAGAAAATGTTATCATGTATGTTACTAGAAAGGAGATTTTTTTTTAAATCATGGCTGATGTAGAACTTGTATATTTTAAAATGAACTAGAACAAAGTACATTGGATGATACGTGACATCTCACCACCATGCATAAAGTTATATGAATTTAACCCCTTACAATCCAATGTATATCTTTCATGCGATGTTAATTTCAATTTGAATGTGCTTTCCTAGATTGCTTAAGATGGTAGGGTTATTTGACAATATGAAAGAACTTTTGTTATACAAATATCCTTGGAAGTGGAGAGGACCAACAAAGATGATGTTCTCAAGTTTGTGGTATGATAAGCTATTTGTTGATTAACTAAACTTTAATCAACATAAGATGAGTAATCACTTGCTTGGAAGAAGTTAGGAGTTAATTTATAATAATAATCTACCAAATAAATAAAATTACTTTGCTTAATTTAAATTAATTGTCCACACTTACATCATTAATATTGCAAGAAATCTTTATCAATAAGCACCTTACTGCTCTTCCAACACAACATCCTTATGATAGCTCTCTAAGGAACTCAACACATCTGCTCTCCAACTCTTGGATGGCTCATAAGCCTAACATTATAGTGATATGATATATCTAGTTACAAACTTATAATATACTAGGTTAAGACATTATTCTTTAAGACAATTGCCTCATAATATATCATATCTCTCTTTAACATTTTTTACATCCTCTCACAAGATTGCCTACCCCATGATTTTTTTTTTTGAAAAAAATACTTGCTTATCTTCAACTAAGAAAAATCAATCTCTTAGTAAAATAACATTATGTTAATCATGATTGACAAAGAATTATTTATAAAGAAATATTAACCCAGCTTCCATACATCATCCTTTTCAATGAACTCTACTATTCTACTCCTTATCATACTATTGAATTCCTTCTCACATGGGTATTCTCCAAATTCCATTATAGTGATCAGAACAAATTCAATAATATCAAATATTATATCCTTGCCTCCAATATTTAACATAACATAATAATCATTATTCTCATAATCATCAACTGTCCTCAATAATAACTGATAAATTAGGCATCAATAAATTTGCAGTTTATGACATTTGAAAAATTGATTAAAGAGAGATTTCTTAGCCTTACCAATCAGATCAGTGGTTTCAAACTATCTAACAACTTTCTCTATTATTCCCAGAGCACTATATATAACCTGCACATTATAATACCTCTTTAAAGGCATGCTTAGAATACATATTTGCATACATAACAAAAAAAAAAAAAAAAAAAAAAAAAAAAAAAAAAAAAAACAAATAAGTCAATTCCAAAAGAGATAATAATGGAAAAATAAAATGAACCATCATTAAACTATGGTCAAACTATTTTCGAACTATGACCAAATTATGATTGAACCATAATTGAATCATGATTGATCCATGTTCAAACACGATGAAACTATCTTTGAATCATGATCAAAACATCTTCAAATCATATGATCGAAAAATCTTGCTACATAATCGAATCATCTTCATCTCTCTTCAAATCATGTGCACAAACTATTTTTTAACATTATTTGAACCTTATTTGAAAGTTTGAATGAGGTTCAAAGATAGCTTGCAGATGGCTAGATTTTGTTCAAAGATTTGATCATAGTTCAAAGATAGTTCTATTATGGTTTGAAGATGCTTCAAAGATAGTTAGATCATTATTCAAATATATTTCAATCATGGTTCAAAGATGATTCGATCATGGTTTAAAGTTGGTTTAGTTACATATCTGATAAATTTATATTAGGTATTGTGATGTTTAATGATGTTTAGGGTTTAGAATACAAATAATATATTTGAATCTAAATAACCAAACGTATCATATTACTAACATTGAACATATGGTGAATAAAGGGATCACAACCAAGAGATTATAATGCAACTCTAAAGCACACTCTATAAATTGCCAAATATTGAGAATGTGGTAGGAATAGGAAGAGTTGATGAGCTACTATAATCGAAGGTTCACGTAACCAGTCAATGAAGGCTTCAACTCTTATTTTTAGAAAGTAGGTATTTTAGTCTGAAATGAAGTTTCAAATCTATTTATCCAAAAATATAAATAACAAGTAGCTAGATTTCTCCAATTATAACTATTCTAAGACATATATAAAATCAAATTTCTCTTAGATGTGTGCTTATATAATTATGTCAATACGCACATACATAAAAATTAAAAAAATCTTATGATACATGCCAGAATTAATTGTTTTTGGTTGTAAACTATGCTAAATATGAAACATAATCTCACACAACTATCTAACATTAGATTAATGCTACCCTCAACATCCATAGCTCCATAATGCATTTTCTTAATTTATATTCTCTTTAATAATCACATAAATATTCATATTTTTATCTTTTAAAATTTAGATAGAGTTTAATTTCAAAATTTTAATAATAATTTATATAAATTGTATTAAACTAATATTAGGGCTACAAATAAACCAAAAGCGAACCAAGTCCGAGCTTGCTCGAGCTTGAGCTTGTTTGCCAAAATCTTGTTCAAGTTTGAGTTTGATTCAAGTTTTAGATCTAAAACGGAATATATGGAGTGTAATTTTAGCAGTAATAGTCCTAGTGAGGGGATTGTGACTTTGGGTGATCAAGTCATTAATAAGAGTACACATTTTAGATATCTTGGATCTATTGTTCAGAGTGATGGTGAAATAGATGGGGATATTATCAGCAGAATTCAAGTTGGATGGTTGAAGTGGAGGAATGCATCGGGCTTGTTATGTGATAGAAATGTACCCCAAAAAACTTAAGGGGAAATTCTATAAGATGGTAGTGAGGCCTGCAATGCTTTATGGTGCTGAATGTTGGCCATTAAAAGAGAAGCATAATACTAAGTTAAGTGTTGCAGAGATGAGGATGCTCAAGTGGATGAGTGGTTTTACCCTTAGAGATAGGATACGAAATGAGCATATACGCGAAAGGTTGGAGTAGCTCCAGTAGAAGATAAGATTAGAGAGAGTCTCATTAGATGGTTTGGTCACATAAAACGGCGGCCTTCCGATGACCCGGTTAGGAGAGTAGAGATATTAGATTTGACTTATTTTAAGAAAGGTAGGGGTAGACCTAAAAAGACTTGGTTAGAAAATATTAGGAATGACCTTTCTTTATTAGATTTAAACGAGAATTTGACTTTTAATAGAACACAATGAAAAAATATTCATGTAGCCGACCCCACGCAGTGGGATAAAGGGTTTATGTTTTGATTTACCTTTATTTTATCCTGCGAGTAAAACTTTATTGATCAAACATAACCCCGACTGCTATCCAAAACCCAAGCTAGGGGACAATGGCCGCTGTTCCTATGCGGCTCGTCCCGCTGGTCTCCTCTCCTTCCTCTTCTCGTCCAGCTGTTCAACTTCCTCCTTCTGGCATCACTGCCGACTTGAACCTAAGCCGATCCTTCCGCGGCTCGGCCTCCCGATTTCGGTGTTTCGCCGGACAGACCGACTTCTTTACGAGGCTTGGTCGTCTGATAAGGGAAAAGGCTAAGAATGACGTCGAGAAGATATTCTCCGGATTTTCGAAGACCAGAGAGAATCTTGCCGTCATCGATGAGCTGCTCCTTTACTGGAATCTCGCCGACACCGATCGCGTTTTAGACGAGCTCGAAGAGGTTGCTCCCTTCTCCTCCTCTTTTGCAAATGACAAGCTTGGTAAGCGGTTATCCGTTTCTTTAGTAGGCATTGCTGGTATCTGATTTTGGGCCAAAGATTTCCATGAAGATTGTCGACAGTCTCAGAGATGATATCCTGGCTGGAAAACTCAAGTCGGGAAACGAAATAAAGGTTGTGAGTTTTTCTTCTTTCTCCAAAATGATTTTCTTTATTTTTCTGGAATTTTCTGCGTACTCTAATGAAAGTATGTCTTTATTTAGGAAGCGTTGAAGAAGAGCGTTCTTAATCTTTTGACAGGAAAAGGTGGCAAGACAGAGCTCCAGCTAGGCTTTAGGTATCATGTCTCTCTCTAATGGATAAAACAGTTATTATTTGGTCTTTTGATGGGGAATGTCTTTTCAGGAAGCCTGCTGTAATCATGGTTGTTGGAGTTAATGGAGGGGGAAAGACTACCTCTCTAGGTAATGCATTCTGATAACACAAATTTTACTCCGTTTTTCTTTTAGATTTTTTTGGCGAACTCCACGGGGTACGTCCATTCAATCTAGTGAAACTTATTGGTGATGAAGCTTCTTTAATTATGGAGATACAAAAAAAAATTATGGTTTTAGTATATCTATGTTTATCATCTAGTATCTTTGATAGGAGATATATGCATCGACCCCGCCCCAACTTCGCCACTTTACCTTTTATTCTTGATATACGCACCAGTTGTTTGTGATGTTAAAAACCCTTTGATTAAATGATTTAATCTTAATGGTAACTGCCGTACCATACTTCTTGTCCAGGTTTCTTCCTTTCCTGCGCATGGTTGTCCCTGCTATTAATGAAAAAGTATTATACTGAGTTAAAAAAGTGAGCACATCTGCTTAAAATCCTTGGAACTTCATTATTTAGCAAGCATCTTTTGTTGCTGTGCCGCTTCCCTTTCCTTTTATAGCTTCCTTTTCTTGAAGCCTCATAGCAGATGAACTTTTAGTGCAGGAAGTTAGTTTTTCTAGCTGGAAGTGTTGTTTTTTTAAATGGTTAAGAAATTACTCGTCTAAACTCCTATGATGCTATCTTGAAACCGCCAACAGCAATAATGGTTGCAGATATTTCTTCAAACTCTTTAAGTTTTTTTTTAATGGATATATTTAAATGAAGTAATGAGTAATTTATATATTCGTATCTATTTGCATAGGAAAGCTTGCTCGGAGGTTGAAGAATGAAGGAGTAAAGGTGAGGTTGAAATTCTATTGTTCTATACTTCAATTGTACCAACGAACTAAATTTTTGCACAGTCTTTTGTATAAAATAGCTTTACATTTATTTCATTAATGAAGCAAACTTAGTTTCTTTATATGATATTCATTCAATACACAAACAAAAACCAGGTTGACTTGGGGAAAGAGAGCGATCATTTGAAACCTTTACAGCTCCCCTGAATATTGTATACTATTTATTTTATGCTAAATCATATCCTACATAATTTTCTTTTAATTTCAGGTACTGATGGCTGCTGGTGATACGTTTAGAGCAGCTGCTAGTGAACAGCTGGAAGTTTGGGCTGAGAGGACTGGATCGGAGATAGTCACGGCTGAGGGTGACAAGGTTAAAGCTCCGTTAGGTGTGTATGCATATTAAAGAACACCAATTGATAAGTGAGGAAATATTCTCACAAGCAGGCTCTTTTTGAAATATATGAATCAAAATTTTCATTGTTATTTGAAGCTGTTTGTGGATAGTTCTTTCACAGGCTGTCAAGAAGGGTAAGGAGCAAGGTTATGGCGTTGTCCTGTGCGACACATCTGGACGTGGGTGTCACTTGTTTATTTTAGATTGTTTTATTTGATTTATATAAATTTACATTGTAAATTTTGATGCGGACAATAAAATTTTCAGGTCTGCACACCAATTACAGTCTCATGGAAGAGTTGGTATCATGCAAGAAAGCTGTAGCTAAAGTTATTCCGGGTGCTCCTAATGTATAATTTTTCTCTTCTTATTTTCTATTTCTTTTCCAATTTTATACTTAGTAGGAAAAGGCTCTTAGTTACAGCATTTCTTGCATTTCTTTAAGTAACATCTTAAAGATATGAATATAACATAAGGCACTAGTTTGTGCTGTGTGTCTGTAGTTAATAGCATGCAAATTGGATGATGTAACCTAGGATTCTCTTCAACATTTAGAGAACTTTCCAAAACATTCAAAATCAAACTTCCTGAAATATGAAACGATTCCAAGGAATATTGGTTTCAATGAGCATTGCTCATTGAATTTTGAGCCTTGGATGCCACAACGATGTATTGGATTGATATCTTGATGACAACAATTATTTAAGTTGGAAAAGTGGTGTTTTTTTGGTTGTCGCTATATGGAGTTAAAATATGTTGGAATGTTGTAGGCTGATAGATATTTCTTTGAACTTTGATGGTAATATTTTCAGCTAATCTGCAGGTTTGACCTTCAAAAAGTTCTAACCTTTTGATTTTTCATTTGGGGTTGATGAATGTTTAAGTTTAATTGTAAATATTTTTCTTAATTATCTGTAAATTTTTTTCTAAACACCACTGGTTCTTGAGCCATAAATTTCATGTTCAACTGAGTCAGTTGCATTTTAGCTACATTAGCATTTATAAATATGTTACTACTTTTCTACTGATTATTTGTTTTTGTAATAATATGCTTTTTGTTTGTTTTCTTACACTGCATAATAATAGTGTCAGACATGTACAATGAAGTATATAAAATGCACTCATTAGATGGGCATATAAAATTTGTTTAGGAGAAATAAATGGATAACAGGTAGGCCTATGTAGCATAGATATAAGCTATTCATAATAATTTGCAAAGAATATGTTTATTACTCCTACAATACCCCAAAAAAAGATTGAAAACTGAGGTTTCATAAAGCTAATAAAAAATAACTAGGATAAGGCTAGTGATGATGACTTACACCATATAATATTGTTGCATTGATTTGCACATCGTCTTATTTTTTTCCTAGTTAAATTTTTTTAATTTTAATGTTGGTGGGTTTGAAGTAATGGTTTGTTGTCTCCAGTGTAACTGCGAAGCTTCATGCAATATGTATGCTCTTATTCAAATTATTTTAATCATGTGCTAGTTACTTTTGACCATTTTGAGTTGTTTTTTTGCTTTGTTATATTGCTTTCTTGTTTTGATTGATCCACCGTTTCTTAGTGGCATTTCTTGCTAGGATCTAGGGGTATGAGTCATGCCGACTCATGAGTTGACTCATACTCGATATAACTAATGGCTCATAAGCCAAGCTTAACAAGCTAATGAGTCAAATTTGAGCTAACCTCGACTCTACTCGCTAGCTCATGAGCTTGCTCTTTTAAAAATATTAATATAAAATAACCTATTAACATCAAGACTTTAAGTTTAAAGTTATTAAAATATTTAAAAATTATACCTCATTTTCTTAGATCAAGTGATTCATTATTTTTTTTTTCTATTTTCTCATTTTTTAATCATTTTATTATAATAATTGCTGGAATTATAATCATTTTATCTCTTTTATAATAAATGAGTTGATTGTTAGATGACTAAAACTCGTAGAATGAAGCTCGAGCTCAAGTTCAAACATGATTAATTAATCTAATTCAAGCTCAAGCTACAGGTGACTTGAGCTCAGTTTGACTTGTTTAAACCCCTATTAAGATCTATCTCCCTCATTTTCTTTTGGTTATCAATGTCAAATTTGAGATTCTTTGGATAGGCTCTTTTTATTCAGGACAATGCTTTTTCCCAGAATGATACGCTTGATATCATGGGTCATCTTAGCTTGCTTTCTTTCTTTTCTTTATCACAGTATACCATTGCATGCCAGTTATATTTCTGCTCTATTGTGCTTGTAAAGTTTATAGTCTAACTATAAAGCTCATTGTAGAGATTGTACTATTTGAATTGGTATATCACATATCATGATAACTTACTGAAATTTAATTCAAGGAGAAGAGGATTATTTTCTGCAGTATGGTGGATGTCATTGAATCAATCCATGTACGAATCCCACTGAAATTACAACTAGGTTGCTTGAATTAGTGAAAGGAAGAAAAGACTCATGATTTTTGTTAAAAGCATTTATACTCAGAATAAATCTTAACTTATTGAGTAAACATGAAGTAGTATTAATATTCTTTTGAGTAAAAAAAAAGAGGGTAAATTAAATTTGAGTTCTTGAGGTTAAAAGGTTGCTTCATGTTGGTCCATTTTTTAAAACTCCCTATTATGTTGATGTAGGAAACTTATATTTTCATCTCTTGCATACATCATTAGGGGTACCACATCTATTGGGTTATGACACCCTTCTCTTGAATATGCTTTGTATGTAGCAGGAAGTGTTAGGGGGAAACAAATGAAGAACACTTATTCCCTATTCAAGCTCTCACAAAAAGAAAGATTTTAAGTTTGAAGCAAGCAAGAACAGATGAGGAGGAAGGTGATTTCAGTGAGTTTAAATTATCTGGTAGACCAGGAAGCAACAACAGTAGTAGGAGTGCTAGAGCTCCTAAAATATTAGAGGAATTAGGTTAATGTGTCATACTTTAAAACTATGGGAGCGAGTTATGGAGCATAGCTTGTGGCGTGATACTAATGTTTTTCAAAATCAATTTGGATTCATGTCGGGTAGGTCTACTATGAAAGCCATACATTTATTGAGAGTCTTGATGGAGAAATATAGAGAGAATAAGGTGGATCTACATATGATATTTATTGATTTAGAGAAAACAAATGATAAAGTTCCAAGAGAAGTGCTATGGAGAGTTCTTGAAAAGAAAGGAGTTAATAATGCTTATATTCAAATCATTAAAGATATGTATGCAGGAGCTATTACTTGTGTTCAAACACAAGGTGGATTGACCAAGTATTTCCCAATTTCGATTGGGTTACATCAAGGATCAGCCTTAAGCCCATATCTTTTTGCTTTATTCGTGGATGTTCTCACTAGACATTTGCAAGAGGATGTACCTTGGTGTATGCTTTTTGCTGATGATATTCTTCTTGTTGATAAGACTAGAGAGGGAGTTGAAGGTAAACTTGAATTATGGAGGTCAACCTTAGAGTCTAAAGGTTTTCGCTTGAGTAGGTTTAAAACGGAATATATGGAGTGTAATTTTAGTAGTAATAGACCTAGTGAGGGGATTATGACTTTGGGCGATCAAGGCATTAATAAGAGTACATGTTTTATATATCTTGGATCTATTGTTCAGAGTGATGGTGAACTAATGAAAGTTTATGGGTTACAGATTATTAAGCTACATTATTTATTTTAAAATTAAAAATTAATAATTAAATCTGTAACTCATAAACTCAAATTAAGTAAAACTAGAATTATAATTTTATTTATTTTTACTACTTATAGACTGTGATGTATTATCATATATTTTAGTAATTTTAAATTGTTAATTTTTTATTTTGGTTAATTATTGAATCAAAATTGTAATGTTTTTATTGCTTAAGGACAAACAAAAGTTTAAGTTGAGGAGAATTTGATAAGTATAAATAATGTATTATTTTATGTGTTTTATTTTCAACAAAAATGTGTTGTTTAGTTGTGTTGTGCAGGAAAGATACAAAAAATACACAAAATTTTAAGTCTCATCTAGCGCCGTGGTGTCGAATAAATTAATGCCTCAGTGCCATCGAAGGCACCATCGAAGCGCTACAACATTGACATGGCAACCCCAACTTCTCTATTGGACAGTGCCACAACATCAAAATGGCCAACTTTGCAGTGCCATGTTCGCTGTCTTCAAGCGTCGCAGCGTCACAATCTATCACGTCTTGGCACCAAAATTGTCATTATGATGTCATAGCATTTGAAAGTTAGCAGCACTGTGCTGTAGCAGTTGTAACTTTCAAATAACACTATATGTTAGCCAAACAATGCGATTGTTCACTAAGCAATTGATCCACGTCAGCCTATGATGCACCGACACAGACACGCGACACGATATTTTTTAAAATATAGGACACGGGTGCGGCGTGGATACAACATAATAATTTTTTAATATAATATATAAAAATTAAGGTGAAATTATATTAAAAATGACAAGTAATAATAAATTAATGTCATGATAACTTGTTTAGCTTATAAGATAAAGATGCTTAGTACAAAATGTCTAGTACAACTACAAAAATATAAGCAAAATCATTTAGTAGGTTCAACTACTCAATAGAGAGAATGATATAATTAGATTCAGAGATTGGTCTTTGGCCTTTAATATCATCATCATTGAATATCATTGCTTCCAACTCTGGTTCATCTAGAGAAAGATTTGCAACCTCCAATAATTCCATATCATCAAGGCACTCAAACTCATCTCCAGCAACATCCCACATCTTGTTATCACCTGTCATATAAACTACGGTTTTCTTTGATAGAAGACGAATATTTGTATGCACATAAACTAAATCTTCAGCTCGTTATGGAGTTATTTTATTTCTCTTCATTGATTAAATAAATGAGTATGTGCTCTAATTTCTCTCACAACAGGAACATGATAATACTTGAACAGGAAGTTTTATTGCTATTGTTTGAAGAAGCGGTGTTGAAGCTCCATGAATCAATCACCACATTTTTGGATCCATCCTCCATATTTCAACCAAAGATTCTTAATTACCAAACTCTAAATATCCAAAGAGCTTTATAAGTTCTATATTAATTTTTCTTCTCCTCATTTGGAAAATATCGTTTCAAGCATATCTTTCTCATATTTGAAATTTTTAAATCTTTTTGTGATGAGATGCTTTGAGGGTCTTCTTGAAGTCATTATTTACTTAAATACCTTCAAATAATACAAAACATATAAAATTATCTGTTCATTTATCAAAAAAATTAAATTAATTTAAAAGATGAATACAAATGTATCTTGGATTTAATGAATGAGCCAAACAATGCAGAGGTGTGTTACTTTTGCTCCACCTATTCTCAATAATGATATAGACAACGTT